CCCCACACCACACCCACACACACACACCACACACACACACCACACACACACACACACAAACAATCTCATACATACACACACACACACACACACACACACACACACACACAAACAAACTCAAACACACAAAACATTTAAAGTTCCTTCAACTTCAGTTTCAAGAGAAAATAAAAGGATATCACAAATGAGTCTAATTTCTAATAATACATTCCAAATCATGTCAATAATATTAAATTAAAACATAATAAATCCTGTCTTACTTTAAAATATTTTAGGTATTACGATAACATCAGTTGTGGCCACTTCAAAAACAAATCTGAAAAATAAGAATTGGAGGCTTTCCATTTACTTCAAATTTGCACAACTTGAAGCTTATGCATTCTAGTGGTGCATATTAGAAAGAAGTTAATTTATTTACTTCCCCTTACTTTATATTTAATGAATAAGCTGAAAATATCTTGTTAATATTGGCATTGCAAGAATGTAACATGAACCGATTCTTTTGTCTAAACACATTCTGGAGGTGGAATATCAATTAGCCATTACCGAGTCAAGTTTTCTTTGGCCATTGGTGGACTGGCCATTCTTTGACTGGTCATTATTAACCATTTTTCACATTTTAAGAAGCCATTACTGGAACAAAATCAAGGTTCGGAACTACAATTATTAAAAAGAAGAACAAATTAAGAATTTGCCACTTTTGCTGAGGAATTATTTAGAAAGAGGTATGGTAGCTCCCATTGAGTGACACATAATGAATTTACAGAAATAATAATAAAATAAATAATTAACATAACATCAATTTTACAACAAAAATGGCTGTATCTGCGGTCACTGCAGGTGCTTTTAGCCTATTTTCCCTAAGTAAGAAATTCATATATTTACTTATATAAATGGATAAATTAAATACTTTAATTTTTTCCCATTAATATTTGCTGTACATTTTGTTAAACTTGATGAATTTGCACTTAAAAGCTTGTGATCTGTCATCTATAACTCTGCATCTTTTCCAATTTTCAAAACATGATAATTTAATGAAGTAAGTAATATAACGCAGATCCGGATAGCCGAGATCACTATCACAGAAGTGCTCATCTGTGGTGATCTCAAACGGAAGGTGTTCCGCCTCAGGCACGACTGGGTTGTGTATTTCTGTAGAACCTACATCTTTCATTATCATCTTCATTCCAAATCCCATCCCCTCAGGGCTACCAACCCTGAGGGATAAAAAATGGATTCAGCATGAGAATGCTGCCCCCTCTCTCCAAAAGGAGTCAATTGCCATGGAAAAAATTTAACTGAGCCTTGGTAAGTGCAGGTGTATGTTCTCATGGTCCCAGGTGGCTAATACATTACCAAAAAAGAAAAAGAAAATTCTTGCTAATTTTCACTTCTGGAAGAATTTTCTAGTTCTCTCTAAACATAAATGATCTTCTGATTCAGTAACTCCTCCAGTCTTATGGTCTGATTTCATATATAAAGTTCCTACAGCTCTTTGCTCTTTGAGTTTAAATATTTTTCCACAAAAAACAGCTACTTCAATATTTAAGGAATATTAAGGGAAAAATATCATTCGACTCTACAAGTCAACTGCATCAGGCTGGAGAAAGGGAGAGTTCATTAGTCCCACTTTGTCACTGGATTGCAAAGATACTTTGACGAACAGAAGATCAACGATTTTGCTTCAACATACATTATAAAACCTTTCCAATCTCTTCAATAACATGATTTAAGTTAAATAGAATACACATTTATTGTTTTTACATACACATGTATATATATGAAATTCAACATCAAATAATTTCTTCATATCACAATATTGTGAACAGGGATCTATTCGCGGCTATATGATATAGAAAAAAATTGAGTTATAAAAGTAATAAACCTGGTAAAACAATAAAGGAACAGTTAATTACAAGAATTACTGTAACAAATTAATATAATTTTTTCCCATAGTCTTTACAAATTCCAATTAAGAAAAGGTAGATCTGAGCACTCATTTTGCTTTACTACATGCTCCGATATACATCAACTTTGCAATGAAGATTTTGTATAAACATATTTTGCAAGCTTCTTTCAGGGAATGGTTACAAAATGTAATGTAGAATAGTTGTTT